AGTTTCACAATCGGCTTCGCATATCTTGGTTAGCTTTCCACCTGTTGTATCATGGGGTGTTACACTAGTTTCAACTGTCGACATTACAACCATCATCAATATGTACACCATTTAGATAAACACTGCTACAAAGGACCCCTTCAGTTATTGTAATGTTAAAACTGAAGCAGTCTTGCTCACCTTGCTTGTTCATGTTCTGAAGTGTTGGCTTCTCAATCGACCAGCTCCCATCTTCAGCCACAGCTGCAGTTGAAACTTTGGATGAGCCAACGCAATTTGACAAATCAACACAAAGTTTCATTCATGCACAAATCCAGTCCTTACCAATTTCTCTCAAGTGTACTGCAACCCAAAATCGGAAAATAGAGCATGAATAGAGAAACCTGGCTTAGGATTGGTATTAGGGTGTTGTGTGATAGAGTGTATAAGGGTGTTCCAGGGGTATTTTTGGTAGTTAACTAGGGTGTACTTAGTTAATTTTATATTTTCATTTAAATATTATAGTGTACTTAGATCATAGGGTGTACTCAGTTAATTTTAGGGTTCGTTTAGCAGCACTCCATTTTTATACCACATGATGTGGCAGTTGATGTGTACATACTACATCATGTAAAATACTAGTTTTTGTTTTTCTAATTTTATTTATTAAAATACACTTTATTCATTTAATTGATGTGGCATATGATATGGACATGCCACATCATGTGGTATATCTATTTATTTATTTTTAAATTGAATTTGAATAGTTATATATTTTTAATTAATATTTAATAGCTTTTAATTTTTTATATTGGCAAATTTAACGGAATTGACCACATTGACTAACATATCTAAACATACGAACTAAATTTGCCAGATTGAAAATACATGGACCAAATTGGCCAACACAGTAAAACAGATGGACCATTTTAACATTTAACCCTAAAAAGAGGCAGATCTGATTTAATGATACAATAAAAGAAAGCTGCAATATGCAAATATGTGGCAAATAAGTTTCATAAGTTCATGATTAACAATTTCAAAAAATAACCATATGCAAATACCATTCTCGCATGATTTGAAGTATAAATACAAATTAAAAAATATTGAAAAATTCATGCCAAGAAATTGCCGACCATGGAAGCAAAGGTCGTTTGTATCAAGGCAGGTGCATTGATTTTGGAGGCCCTATCTAGAGAGTGATGTTGAGGCTCTGATTTTCTCAGAGAACAAAAATGTTGTTGACAAATTTATGAACAAAGCAACATTATTTTCTCATTCAAGGTGGATTTTTAAGGGAAACGCTTAAGGGTTAAATCTAAAAATCAGGATTTAAAGTACAAAACTCATTGACATTAGGTAAAAAAGTTAAAAATTAAGGATTCACTTGATTTTCCTAGGTCTTGCAATCATGCCTTAGATACAACATATGAGAGAGAGAGAGAGAGAGAGAGAGAGAGAGGAAAACGCGTTAAAACAAAGAGCTAACCCAAAAAATAAAATCAGAAAATCATGGGAGAGATTGGCCGAAAAGTCGCCGAGATCCAAAACGAAGGGCTTGGCGAGCACCGTCTCCGCGACCTCAACGATGAGATCAACAAGCTCATACGGGAGAAGGTTCACTGGGAACGACGAATTGTTGAGCTTGGAGGCCCTAACTACGCGAAACACGCCCCTAAGATGACAGACCTCGATGGCAACATCATCGACGTCCCAAACCCTAGCGGCCGAGGCCCTGGGTATCGGTATTTCGGTGCAGCGAAAAAATTGCCGGGAGTCAGAGAGCTTTTCGAGAAGCCGCCGGAGTTGAGAAAACGGAGGACGAGGTACGATATATACAAAAGGATTGATGCAAGCTATTATGGGTATAGGGACGATGAGGATGGGGTTCTGGAGAAGGTTGAGGCTCCGGCGGAGGAGAAAATGAGAGCGGAGCTTTAATTAACTTTGAATTGGATTTTTCCTTTGGGTTGTAACTTTAATTCATTTTGCATTGCATTTTCCTTTTGGTTTGTAACTTTAATTAACTTTGAATTGGATTTTTCCTTTGGGTTGTAACTTTAATTCATTTTGCATTGCATTTTCCTTTTGGTTTGTAACTTTAATTAACTTTGAATTGGATTTTTCCTTTGGGTTGTAACTTTAATTCATTTTGCATTGCATTTTCCTTTTGGTTTGTAACTTTAATTAACTTTGAATTGGATTTTTCCTTTGGGTTGTAACTTTAATTCATTTTGCATTGCATTTTCCTTTTGGTTTATAACTTTAATTAACTTTGAATTGGATTTTTCTTTAGGTTGGAATGCTTGAGAAGTTGAGGTTGAGGTTGTGAATTTATATATGCTTGAGAAGTTGAGGTTGCGAATTTATTTCTTTAAATTGTGAATTTATATTTTTGGGTTAAGTATGCTTGAACTCAAAAGGCTTCAAAAGATGCATCAAAACTAGGCTTAAAAGTGTGGAACATTGGATTTTTATGACACAAAAATACCACACTTGAAAGACCTAAAACTGTCTAATTTGCGGTTACCGAACCGCAACCACCCCTATAAGAAGTTGTTTGTTCTTATCAAATTGATGTTTAAGATGGATTTTTGATGTATAAATGTTCTGGCATAGGTTGAATTCTCTTTGGTTATTGGTAGGCTTTGTTAAGTAAGTGTTTGTAAGGTATTTAGATGGTGGATTGAGTAATAGTTGTCCTTGATGATGAAACAAGTTATATTTGTCACTTTGGATTTAATTTCGAGAAGCAATAATTATCAGTTGATTATGACAAGTTTTGTTAGCCTTTCTACTACATGTTCTATTCTTTTATCAAAGTTTCATTACTTTGTTTATTGCTGAGTTTATCTGGCTACCTCTTTCAAATTATGCTATAACCTGTGTAAACAAATAACATATCAACTGTTTAGTTTATACATAATTTGTACTCTTTAGTACGATAGCAAATTTCTAATTTTATATTATGTTGCCTTCATCATCTCTTCAATAAGGGTTATATCATGGCTATTTCAGGTAAAATTGCCAAAGATTTTATACTACAGATGCTTTTTGTTTTTGTTAAATTGAAAAGGAAAATGGAGTGTCAAAATTCCATTATTGATTGTTCTTATTGTTGACGTTCTTTTTGGTACAGGATGACGCTCATATCTTCTGCAGGGAGTCCCAAGTGAGTTGACCTTACTCACATACCTCCTAGCATTTGAATTTTGTTTCTGTTTTTGTATTTTTGCAGTTTTGTTTTGCTCATAGTACTACTATGTCTCTGTCTTTCAGGTGAAAGATGAAGCCCAGGTCGTTGAGGTCAAGCGCACACCCTCAGGCGTCAGAACTCATAAGGCCATAGCGTAACGCCATAACCCAGTTTGAAAAACAATCCGTCAGCTTCCTTGCATTTTCTACACCCTGCTCTGCTCAGTACCATCGCCAGCAAATCACCCCCCTATCATCCAAGTTTTGCCAGATTGTCTCCACAGGGTCTCGTAAGTACCTTTCATTCCTCTCTCTTCTCTTCTGAGTTTGGGTATCAATTTATGAATTTGATGCCACTCGTTGCATATAATTTGTACGCTATGATTGATTTATCTACCCGTTAAAGATTCTACTATTAAATTGTAAAATGGGGTTGAAATTGAATTGTTAATATTTATTTACATTAGGCATTAAATATATCTCAAAAGGGGTGTTGGGAAATTTTATGTTGGGATTTTGCATGAAATTTTATCAGAACTGTATGAATGTTGTTATCTTCTTTGCATTGTCTGGTTTTCGATAGATAAGAGATTGTAAATTTTAGCATTATGGGCCTTTTTCCATTGATAGGGTAGAGGTTCTTCATTTCTTCTCTTATTTCTTGTGATTCCTACCTACCCACCAGTGAAGTACATTTTTCTATTTAGGAAATTTGGTTTCTGTTAACCTGCAGATTAATTATGAACAGTTTATATGGTGGGCGCTATAATGTGGTATCCCACGGATGTCAATGGGAAAATATCTGTTAAGGGGAGTGTTATTCGCATTCCCTATCGTCCTCCTGTATTCCAGTGCAGGATTGTTGTGGGGGAGTGCCTAGTAAAAGTCAAAGAAAATTTGATATATCAGCACATAAATTATGATTACTATGAAGTTGGAATTGAGGCTCTATTGAGTTCGGCTGAGTGGATTCGTTGAAACGAATAAGAGAGTATCTGTAATGCTTTCTCATTAATTGGAGATGGAGCTCTGGTCTATTCTAGTATTTGATCAATAGTGTGTACAGAATGCTTTCTCATTAATGTGAAGGTTATGCAATTGCCTATGTTTGCTTCTTCATCCATTGTTGGTTTGTTCTTGAGGTCACTCTTGTTTCTCTTGTCAGGCTGCCGAGTTATCTTTAGGGAAAACGGGTGTCAAATTTCTCAAAATTCCTGTAACACAAACGGATTGTTCAATTCAAATAATCTGGTTGCAGTCCCTAACTTTTGTAATAATATATTTGTATTTATCTTCAGTCACTGGTTTTATTATCTTTGAAAGCTTCTGGTTACTTCGAATTTTTTGTTTTTATGTTTTCCCTAAGGCAGCTACCCGCATTTCAGGGCTCAGTGAATCACTATTGAACTTTGTTATGGCCATAGGGATTATTAGACAAGGATGTCTGGGAGATGAAAAATTCCATCGTCTTTTGAGTGACGTCCCATTCAATCTCCAGGTATGATGCGGCATGGTCCATTGCCTGGGTTAGGGCCTTCTCCTGGTCACCGACCATTTGAGGCACTACCACGTCCTGAACTTAGTGAACTATTGGAAAATAAAATTGCATATCAAGCAGCAGAGATAAAACAACTGACAGGAGACAATCATAGACTGGTAGCTACTCATGTTGATTTGAGGCAGGATCCTTTAGCTGAGGAGGAAGTACAGAGATTCAAGGCACACATGAGAAGCATCCAGACTGGGAGTGACATTCAGCTGTACTATTTTTCAAAAAAAAATTCAGTAAAAAACTGAGTATCCGCGCGGCTACACAATTTTTAATATAAACAATCCGAGTATAGCCGCCGGCTATATGATTTATAAATTAAAAAATGTGGACAACCTCACGTGTCTTAAATAGTATAGCCGGTCGGCTATACTATTTTTAATATAAAAATTCCGAGTATAGCCGACCGGCTATACTATTTATAAATTTTAAAAAAAGGGACTCGCCTCACGTGTCAAAAATCGTATACTATTTTTAATATAAAAAAACCGCGTATAGCCGGCCGGCTATACTATTTATAAAATTATAAGAAAGGGACCCGCCTGTCGCCTAGCGCCCATATCGCTACGTGTAAAAATAGTATAGCCGCACGGCCATAATATTTTTATATAATAAAAACCATAGTATAGCCGTGCGGCTATACAATTTTTTAGATGGCTTTACCCTTGTTATATTAAAAATCCGAGTATAGCCGCCCGGCTATACGATTTATTAAATAAAAAAGACCCAGCGGCCCCGTACGCCCATTTGTCACGTGTCTAAAATAGTATAGCCGTGCGGCTATACTACCTTTGTAGATAATAAAAGCCGTTGTATAGCCGCCCGGCTATACCGTTTTAAATATAAAAAAATCCTAGTGGACCCGCCCGGCGATACTGTTTATTCTCCGAGAGTTCTTGAGAGAGATTATGATACAGAGAGGATGGGGAAAGAGAAAGCTACTGAGAGAGGATGCACGGCAGCACGGGTGGAGGTTATGGAGGTTATCGGAATGATGGAGTTGGTGGGAAGTTTTTGTGGAGTTTCCCACGATGTGGGCTCTCTTTCTTTGCCAGAATTATACACGTTCATATTTTAAAATTAATTTTTTTTTTTGGTTGGGGTACTTTTGTCCATGAAGTCTCTGATCAATTGCTTTTGGTCTGTCTTTGTAACTGCTTTTAAAATATTCGAATAAAATCACCACACACACTCAGAACTGTAATTAGCAGAGGCTGGAAGATAACAACCGTTCCAACATGGGCAATATGAGCCTTGAGTTCTTGAACGTCAGATTGATCTTTGTGCTTTCCATGTTTTGGGTTGGAGGTGTTTTTGGCAAAGGGGTGAAACCAGAAGGAAGAAGCCTGCATCACAGGTTTAAGAACTCCGCTGTTTTTGACGTGATGAGCTTCGGCGCCCGAGCGGACGGTCGAACTGATGACAGCAATGTTGGATCTCAATGCCCTATTTATAGTTTTCTTTTGATCAGCTCTTTCTCATCATGTGAATTTGTTTGCTGTAGGAATTTGTAGTCATTTAGCTCTATTTTGACAAGGAGATACAACTGGTTCTTGTAATTTCAGGCCTTCATGGCAGCATGGAAGGAGGCATGCCAGTCTACAGGTAGGGTACACATTACGATACCGAAAGGGACATACATAATTGGCCCTCTTAAATTCTCAGGCCCCTGCTTAAACGTATCGTCTCTGACGCTTCAAGTGAAGGCAAGACTAGTTTTTATGATTTCCATCTGCTACATTTTTTACATTATAGTATCAACTATCAAGTCATTTGCTGACGGCTTTGAGAAATAAATTGCTTGCATTGCAGGGTTATTTGAAGGCTACAACGGACCTGCGCAAGTATGGATTTGGTGGCGGTTGGCTCGAATTTGCATGGTTGGAGGGGCTAACCTTGACCGGAGGTGGAACCTTTGATGGCCAAGGTGCTCGAGCCTGGCCTCACAACAAGTGCCCCACAGACTCCAACTGCAAGCTTCTTCCAACTGTATGCTCCATAGCTTTCTCTTTCTGTTCTTAAATTGTACATCACTTTTTGTAGCTAATTGGAAATCAATTTCTCCTTCTCAGAGTTTGAAATTTGTGGCAATGAATAAGACTGTCATCCGAGGCTTAACTTCAGTGAACAGCAAGTTCTTTCACATAGCTCTTGTAGAATGTCACAACTTCAAAGGTAGCAGGCTCAAGATTTCAGCCCCCGAAACAAGTCCTAACACCGATGGCATCCACATCGAACGAAGCTCTAGTGTCTACTTCTCTCTGTCACATATTGCTACCGGTGATGACTGCATCTCGGTTGGACAAGGAAATTCTCAGATCACCATAACAAGCATCACTTGTGGACCTGGCCATGGCATCAGGTACTTTCAATTTAATGAAATAGTACTTACTTATGTACGAAGCTTACTTAGCCTGATTAACACGTATTTTCGGGTACATGTTTGCATTTTTTTTAAATCATAGTGTGGGAAGTCTAGGAAAATATCCAGACGAAAGAGATGTTAGTGGACTTGTAGTGAAAGACTGCACCATGACAGGTACCACCAACGGCATTAGGATCAAGACATGGGCTAACTCTCCCGGCAACAGTGCAGCCACGAACATGACATTCGAAAACATTGTCATGAATAACGTGACCAATCCGATCATAATCGATCAATTGTATTGTCCATTCACATCCTGCACCTCTAAGGTAACCAAATTTTCCAGGCATGTAGTAAAAGTGCTTCATTTCTGGTTTGAGTTTTATTAGGTTGAACAAAATGCCATCCTGATCATATTATATACTCTCTTATTGAATTTGTATAAAATTTTGCAGGCACCATCCAGAGTGAAGCTGAGTGACATATACTTCAAGAACATAAGAGGGACATCATTGTCGGAGGTGGCGGTGGCTCTTGAATGCAGCAAAGGGATCCCATGCCAGAATATTTACCTTGAAGATGTTCACTTGGACCTGTCATCTGGGGAGAAACAAGCAACTTCAAGTTGCAGCAATGTCAAAGCTAAATTCAGTGGCACCCAAATCCCACCTCCATGTACTTAGTTGCTTGCCACTTTGTTTGGTGGATTTGGGAGATCCTAATAGTTAATTTCCACTTGAAATTTGATGTTTGGACTTCAATGCTGTCTCAGGAGAACTGCACTACTTCCATGAAAAATTTAGAGTTTTTCTTTTCTGTTTCGGTGACTAATTATCTTTCTCTTATCTGTGCTAGCAAAGACCATAGAAGTTGCAATAGACATTTTTCTTTTAGATATTTTAACAAAGATATAATTTGGTTTGGCTTGGACTATGAATATCACCATTCTAGACGGGACTTAGAAGACACAATATGTTGGACTGTTGTTCAATTTATAAGTTCATCAAACAGCGATTGGAACATGAATCTAATTGAAAACGTTCATGGCGAGACTTCAAACGTGGATCATTAGAAAAAGTGGAAGTGTTGAGTATATTTGTGAACAAAAGGAGGCGTTTAGATACACACTCAACTCAAGCATCATGAATTTTGGAGTGGAAGGTATTCTTCATGATGTAATGGCCATCCCCTGTTGGTTGAATAAAATTCCCCCATAAAAAGAAAAGGGTGCTTAGATTATGTTAAGCATCCTATCCTCATCTTCATAAAAACACCAAAACAGAAAAATGATACTGATTATTTGGGAGAAATAAAATAAAATAAAAAATAAATAAAAAAGCATTTTGTAAAACATAAAATATCCAAAGTTAAAATTCCAAAACGTCACATCAGTCGTACCAATAAAATCTAGATAATCAACGCATACATAGTAATTGAATCAGGACCGAACACGTGCCTCGTATATGAGGAAATGGGCTCAAAAAGTAAAAAGAAAAAAAAAAAGGAAAGAATATTTGAAGAATAATTTATTATATCCTCGTGTTCATTTTCCCACAAGCATTGTGGGTTTTGTCCACTTGCTTGCTCTGTCTTGTGTGTATATTAGTAAGGCGAGGAAAGAAGAAGAAACGAAGTCGGAATTTAAAAGAGAGAGAGAGAGAGAGAGAGAGAGAGAAGAAGAAGACGAAGAAGAAGATGGAGACCGCATCAGAAATGGTGGCATTTCCATTGCTGATGACGCCGATCGAATCGAACTACAGAGCCTGCACCATCCCCTTCAGGTTTCCCTCCGACAATCCTCGCAAGCCAACCCCGACTGAGCTGGCCTGGATCGACCTCTTCCTCAACTCCATCCCTTCCTTCAAGTAATCTCCATCTTCCTCAGCTCCATGATCAACCCTAATTTCTTCTTCGTTTTCGTGTTAATGGGTTTGGTTGGTTTTTGGGGGCAGGAAGCGAGCTGAGACCGATGCTGTTGACGATGCTCCGGCTAGAGCTGAAAAATTTGCTCAAAGGTATAGTGATTGTTTTGTGATGAGTTTTTTGAGTGGTGATGAGATTGGTTTTTGGAAATGTATGTAATGTGTTTGTGTTTTTTACTGAAAGGTACTCTGAGATACTTGAGGACTTGAAGAAGGACCCTGAAAGTCATGGTGGCCCACCAGATTGCATTGTAAGCTCAAAAAATTTTTGGTTACTAGTTTTTTGGTTACTAGTGTTTGTTGCAGTTGTGATATCATCATCATCTTCTTACCATGGAACATTTCTCTTTTTTTGTTTGGTTGGGAAATCTAGCTTCTTTGCAGACTTCGTGAGCAAGTCCTTAGGGAGTTGGGGTTCAAGGATATATTTAAGAAAGTCAAGGTGGGTGCTTGCTAACTGTTATAGAAAACTTTTCCAATGTATTTTGTCAAGAATTAATTGACTAAGAGTTCCAAATACTGATCAAACACTTCAGGATGAAGAGAATGCAAAGGCCATATCCCTGTTTGAGAATGTAGTGGATTTAAGTGATGCTATTGAAGATGAAGGAAAGCGCCTAGAGAATCTCGTTAGAGGGATATTTGCTGGAAACATATTTGATCTTGGTTCTGCACAGGTATGCAATTTTCTTATTGTTGTAGAACTAGTAAGTATTTGATACCTGACTAAAAGCCTTCACTCCCCACTACTTGAATTTGGTCACTTAAATTTTTTACATATATCATACTTATTCTTAGGATATGCATGACAAAATGGTTATTGTTACACAACTACTTGTTAATATTAAAGCAATACTTCTTTCAGTGGCAACTACTTGACATTTACTTGTTTTTGTGTTTATGAAGCTCGCAGAAGTTTTCTCAAAGGATGGTATGTCCTTTTTAGCCAGTTGCCAAAACCTTGTCCCTCGACCCTGGGTTATCGATGACTTGGACGATTTCAAATTGAAATGGAGCAAGAAATCCTGGAAAAAGGCAAGTGTGTATGTTCTAGATCTCTCTGAAAGAAGTTATACCATTATACATGCTTTATATGTATTAACCAATTATCCTTTTTTTGTTTTGGTGTTCACAGGCTGTTATATTTGTTGACAATTCTGGTGCAGATATTATTTTGGGAATTTTGCCATTTGCGAGAGAGTTACTCCGGCGTGGGACACAGGTTTGCAGTCAGATCTTGTTTCTTCTGTTGAATGGTTCTTATGGTGGAAATCCCAGAAGTTTTCTAGCATCCTTTCTCTTTCTAAGAAAACTATATATGTATTATGCATTTCTAAAGTTAAGCTGTCTCTGTGCCAATTAAACCAGGCATGGAATGAGTATTCTGAGTTCTGGTGCCTTTTCGTTTTCCAAATTTCTTTCAATTGTTTTCATGCTCGATTTTTGAATGAGTTGCCTTGTTAAGCCTATTTGCACATGATTATCTCTTTCTTATTATGCAGGTTGTGTTGGCAGCTAATGACTTGCCTTCTATCAATGACATAACTTACCCTGAACTGATTGAGATTATATCAAAGGTAATAGAAAATTTTAGAATAACTTTTTTTCAAAATCTTGGATTATACTAATGCTATAAGTGGCAATATACCAGTTGAAGGACAATGAGGGGAAGCTCAAGGGTGTTGATACTTCAAATCTTTTCATTGCCAATTCTGGTAATGATTTGCCGGTAAGGGAATGGAAGCTCTTGTTTGTTGTCCGATTGAATTGATGCATTCTGTTTCACGATTATGAATGTGGTTACAGTTGTATAACATTAACCTTTTTGGTTTCTAAATTCCTTGCAGGTTATTGATCTTTCAAGAGTGTCACAAGAGATTGCCTACCTGGCGAGTGATGCAGACCTAGTTATTACGGAAGGAATGGTAAAAACCAACCCAGAAACTTACTTGGATTTTTACTAGTATTGAGTCTTAATTGAAATATTGAACTGGTTACTTTATTTGAAGGCTAGTTACGTGCATATATTGAAGTGTATAAAATGGACTCCATATAAATTGAGTAGACATGGATGTTAAAAGTGGTATAGTCGTGGTAAAAGTCTAGTGGATGTAGAATGTCTTGAGATGATGTGGTCTGTGTCATTTTAATATAACTTATTTTGCTTTTAACAGGGTCGTGGGATAGAGACAAATCTTTATGCGCAATTTAAGTGTGATTCCCTCAAGATTGGGATGGTAATACTTCCACTAGAATTTTCTGTTGCTTCAATACTGATTAGTTTAGTTGAGCATCCTTTGTGCATAATATTAACTTTGTGCAACTTCTGTTTGCTTCTCCCCTTTCTTTATCACAGGTGAAACATCCCGAGGTTGCCCAGTTTCTAGGAGGAAGGCTTTACGATTGCGTCTTCAAATACAATGAAGTTTTGTTGAGTTAATAATGTTGGTTCTTGTCTTGTCTGTACTCTTAACCGAATTTATTCTGAGTCATCAGAGTACATGAAGTATTAGATCTTAGCTACTGCAAGAGCTTATATATTTAAAACTTTGAAATTCAGCACTCCTTATAAATAAACATGTCTACTGTTACACGTGGTTTAGATTTATCTCCCATACATGTGTTTTTGGGTGCAAGTTGTGCAGGTGATTAGAAATAAGAAATTTATTTCCGTATTGAATTCCCTTGATGATATTTTTGTGTTTGGTTTCGATGGAAGAAAGAGTGAGGGAGAGACGAGAAACAATACAAATGGTTTTTTATTCCTTCACTTCTCTTTATATTTTCTCTCTTTTCTTGTCTGTATTACGACTGTTAAATTTAAAAGTAAAAATGAAAAATTCTTCTTATATGCTCTGGGATGTTTCTACTTGCAAATGGAAAATGATGTAATCTTTTCACAAAGTCATACAGGAGTTAGATTTTGATATAGAGTAGTGCGCTCGGTTCAGCAGTTGTCTTTTTCTCATAAATTTCTTAGCCATTTTATTAATAAACTTGAAGGGTTACACAAATAAAATCCATCATTTGTGGAAGTACAACACAGAAGAAAAGAAAAGAAAAAAGAAAAAACAAAGTTTTTGGTTACCAAAGGAGATGCATGTTAATAGATCATTTCTTTTTGGTGGGATATGAAGCCATCTTGTTGATGCCACAGAGTCCTTCTGGCTTTCCTGTGTTCCTCTTCATCCTTATGTAGCCCTTCTCACCCCACTTTGGTCCCCATGAGTTCCTCACAATGATGTAATCTAACTCCTTTTGAGAACCATATCCAACGGCTGCTACACCATGATCAAGCTCAGTCCCACAACGCCCGTTGAAGACTCCCTACAAAAACAAACAATCCATACAGTTAGGGTTAACTAATGTGTTTTAGGCATTATACTGTGCATGAATAGGTTGTGTTCTGAAAAAAGAACAAAAAAACAAAAAAGCTCACCCCACTATAGAACTGGAAATCTCTGCTAGAGGCGTCAATAGCTATGCTAAGAGGCTGATGAGCCAGGGCCTTAAGGAGAGCTTCTTCGTTATTTTCTGGCACGTCTTGATAACCGTTTATAGTCACCACCTCTGAAGCTCCCTGAAGATTACAAAATCAAATGCAACTATAAGAACAGCCATGATCTGATGACAGCTAAATTTGATCAAAGAAGCAAAAGCGTTATAATGCATTGCACCCCAGTTAGCAGTATTTACCTTCTTTTTCTCACAATTGCCTTCCTCCATAAGATATGGGTAATCATCTTCCTTGTTAAGCCCACCACTGGACATTATAAACTGAAATGCATAATCCATCAAGCCCCCATTGCAGCCATTGTTGAATGATCTGTCACAATCTATCAGTTGTTGTTCAGACAGGGACGTTAGGTTTCCTGTGACAATCTGGTTTATGCCCTCAACAGCAGCAACAGTAGAAAATGCCCAACAGCTACCTGCAGATTGCCATCTTTGTTCATTAATACATGATATAAACACATATTACATATTACATATGGAGAGAGAGAGAGAGAGAGAGAGAGAGTTTGGCACATACCACATGAACCTTGGTTCTTGATAGGAGTTACAGCTCCTTTCTTTCTCCAGTCCACAGATTTGGGCAATGCTTCGACATCAAAATCTCGATAACTGAAGTCTCCGGTGGACTCTCTCCTTCTTGCGGATTCGGGTTTTAGCCCCAAGTAGTTGCTCTTGAACTCTTCATGGCTCAAGTCTGCAAACTCATTCACCCCAAGCCAGTAGCTATCAACATCAAGGTTCTTATTCCTTTCATTAATGTGCTTCACATTGTCTCTGAATATCTCAAACCTATGCAGCTTCTCTTCCATGGTTTGGTAAATCTTGCTATGTTTTGATATCCACGATTCGAAGAGCATGATGAACTTGTCCATGCAAGTCAGGTCCTCAGGCGAATAACCCACGATCGAAAACTCATGAGCCAGAGAAGAGCCCAGAAAGAGAGGTACAAGGAAGACCAGAAGGGACATCTTAGAGAAAGCCATTGGTGATCAACAAGAGAGAATAAGAGAGGTAAAAGAGAGGAAGAGATGGATGAATGTGAGAGAGGGGGGGATGGAGTGGGTCTTATATAGTGTTTTGATTTGATCATGAGGTTGCTTTCAAGTGAAGTGGTTGAATTGTTTTTTACAATACCAAGTCTTTACGGTTGGTTCTTTTGGACAGGCTTTTGTCCCAAGCATGCTCATTTGTTTAAGCATAAGCTTCAAACTAATATGATTTCACATACATGGGTGAGAGTTGCTAGCCGCCCTTATTCTATAGATTCAGAGTTTCTTTTCTTTTCTTTTCTTTTCTTTTTTTTGGGGTTATTTTTCCTGATTATTATAAACCATTCTCTACTTTTGTCCAAGCTCAAACTTAAAGTTTAGTCATGACTAAGGAGATGTTTTGGGCTATACTTAGAATTATCACAGTCCTACAGTTGTGTATCTGTTGCTGTTCATAAAAAGTCACATTGAAAATTCCGAACAGTCCGTTTATGAAAATTTGAGTTTGGTGGGTAAGTTCCAAACTAGGAAAATTCGAGATACAATCCAACCATTTGTACATTTTGATTGTATTGATGGTAAATTTCAGCCTTAGTTTCAGCCTAGCTGCCAAAAGCGATTAAAAGCTTTGATTTCACAGAGATCAGACCACCCTTGGGTCACCTCCTAGATTGATATGCAAACCATAAATATAGTTTTCATAAATATGGTTTTCACCAAAACATGAGTAGATTGAAGATCTGGCAACGCTCTTTTTATTCAATAATATAATTTGCTTGACCTGCCAATCCTAGAGATTCAATAATTTCCTCCTATCCTCCATGGATGTTATACATTAATCAATCACGTTAAATTAGTTTGTTGCTCTGATGTGAGCTGCTTGATTGCTTTGTATCTATATCCTCTGCTATATCGGACGACGGATGCTCATTTCCTCAATCAACATTCCACGTAGAAAAAGACTTGAAGCAACTATCAGAAACCAGAACCTTGAACTCATTTAATATTGAATGAATTGAACACAAATTACAGGAGAAGAGTATATTCCTTGTGTCATCTAATCTGATTTTGAATCAGTATTCAAGACATCTATTGAAAATTTAAATAGAAGAAGGGAAAAAATATATCAGTAACATAAGCCTTTACACTGACTGAAGAAGTGGGCGGAGATGACAAAATGAAATCATCACTATCTTTGCACCTTCCCAATTGAATGCAGATAAACCGCAACCGAGACAACGCTGGAAACAAGAAATGAAGCATGGATCAACCATTCAATGTATCTCTCAAAATGGCCAAAAATATATTGCCCTTTCTCTATGTCTTAATGTGGCAAATTGCGAAATTTTGGGATAAAGTGATGTTTTCGAAAATCTCAGTCAAACCACAAACAGCTTCTCATTGTATAACAAATTGTCAATATCTTTGACAAGTTGATTATGCTACATGACAAAACTGAATGGAGGTCTCTAGGACTCGCTCAATTTACTGTAATAACATAGAAAGTAGATATTTCATGTGAGCTGAGGAAACTTACGTTGAGCCAAGGAAAAAGGCAAGGGATAGATGAAAGCCAAATAGAAACACAGACACAACTGCTGTAAGAAGCATTGCTACCGATGTAGAATATACCTGCAGAGCGCAGCTAAATTTAAGATTGGAACTTCCTAAAAGGCCCGGAGATGTTCGAGGTGTGATTCCAACAAACATTATTAATTTTAATAACCAATATATATGAAATGCATATGGTTAACACTTGGCAAGCCACAAGTAGTCCAACAGAAAATAAAAAGATAAGCATTTCCTGCTACCCCCTCCACTTCTTGCTTAACATGGCCAAAGATGTGTACGGAAGTTGCAATAACCGATCAAGATTATCAGAGGAATGAAGAAATTATGAATTCATTCTACCAAAACACCCCAATCATCACATAAGTAAATCAAATTAAAGAAAGAATGTTGTAATAGTATGCCAAGGCATGATTGTAGAACATTATAGAGATGCATGTAAAAGTACATTAGTGAATGCCTCACCAAAATCAAAGCTGTAATTCCATGTCTTACCTTCACAATATTATCAGCATACTTCATAACCATAGACACAGCAATGCCACTGCAAAGGAAGCCAACGTAAGCAATCGAATAGAAGCACAGTAGGAAAATGAGAGAGAATATGTGTAACGAGTAAAAAGCTTAAACTGATGAGCCAAAGCGGATACATAATGTACCTGAGTGCATGGTTGAGAATCATTAGAACTGTAATAAATGAGTATCCATGGAAGAATCCCCTGAATATAAAATAATAACTTATAAATATAATTGGAATACAGGGGCATAGTTTTTAGTAGATAGTAGGCAGAAAACGCATTTTTGGAGATAGGATCTTCTAACAATAAAGGCAGAAATAATTAATAAAGCGATAGACCCAAAAAAATAGAAAAATCAGAAATGGAGAAAAGGGTTTAAATTACTTGTTCATCACTGCATCAAAATCTTGAACCACTATAGCAACAGCATTGAAGGCCATTCCAAAGACGTACAACCAGAAGTTCTGCACATTTATATTCCTTGAAGGGCGCTTTTTAATAATGGCCTGCCAATATCATACAGAAGATTTTAACATAATATTTTTTTTCTAGAGCAATCAAAGAACCCACAATTAATTGGCGCTGCATATTGACAACCAGTCTTCTCAAAGCCAATAAAGACTCATCTAAACCCCGAATTTTGATAACAGTAAGTATGATGCGAAAATAAGTTTTGATTCTATAAACATGAAGTGGAGAAATGGCTGTTTACTTAAAGAAATTCACCTCGGTGTATACTCCCGCAAAACCACTTAAAAGTGCCATTACCTGCAAATGACTAACCGTTACACTAACAAACATTGCAAATAAAAGGGGGAAAATAACAAAAGAAAAATTTAGATTAAGAGTCTAAAAAATGTTGAGAACTCACAATGGCCATCACCCAACCCTGGAATGGAGTTTGGAGAACACTATCAGATCTGCCAACAAGAATTCCATTTTAACCAACTTGTTGAACTAACACATGCATAAATTTATAAAAGCTACCAATTAAAAAGTGGTGAACAATG